TCTTCAGAAACCATACAAAAAAGAAGAGTATAGTGTGAAATATTTAAAATATTGAGAGAGAAATGACCCTGTCCTAGAATTCTGTGCCTTGCAATATTATTTCTCAAATGTGAAAGAAAGAAAATGACTCACTTAGATGAAAATTGAGGGGATTTGTTTCCAATAGACCTGCCTTTTAAGAAATGTTTATGTACGGATGCATGATTTGATCTTTTTGTTTGTGACCAAACTCATTGCAAAAAGAATGTGATTGGGTTTTCAATTGATTAAAAGGAAGGCAATCAGGAGAAAGGAAAAAACAAGGGTAGTGATAAGCAACATTCATATTTGCCAAATATGGGTATTAAATTTGGGCCAAAGTTTTCTAATAGCTAATTATAAGACTAAACAGTATAATCCAGAATACACTAAAATTAGTAGAAACTTGAAGGATCCAATTATTCCACCAGTCTTCCCAAGCTCTTCTTTCAGTACAGAAGGATTTATGAACTTCCTTCTAAAACAAAATAAAAATTCAGATTCCAGTTGTATTCAAAATAAAAAATAAATAGACCAAAAGTATGGTCCAGGTATATTACAGTGAGGATAAATTGCAAACACCACAAATTACACCTTAACAGGCTTGTATCCTAAAAGGCAGTGTCATTATTAATTCTCACCATGCTATACATTGTGACCTGAAGAATAGTGAGCAGTCCTTGACTTAACTGCTACAGGAGCAGCAAGCAGGACAGCTCTGGGCACATGTAGGTACAGCCCTCCTCTCCCATGTCACCACAAGGAAACCAGAATCCTCAACCCCAGCCCTGTAGCAGTTGGCTTAACTCTTTGAGTTCCCTAATGCCTTGTGAAGTTAAACAGTTTGGCACCTGCCACAAAGCAAATGCAAGAATGACTGAGCAAGCCAGGCACAGATGCTGCAGGGGGAAAAGGAGCCTGTTGTGGCCTGCTAACAACTCCTGCTTACATCTGACACACAGAGGTGTACATAGAGACTAAGTCACAAGAGAAGCTCTCTTACACCTCTAAGTCTTCTCTAAACATGCAACTGGAAGGACAAGTCTTGGGACTAGCTGGGGGCTGCCCTACTGATGCAGGGAGCCAAAGTATATCAAAATCTGCAACTCCGTGGCCAGTCTGCAGTGAGATTAATAAGGACCGCAGAATTGCCATCAGCACAGTGTGTGTGCATGCATGCGCGCGCGCGCGCGTGTGTGTGTGTGTGTGTGTTTGTGTGTGTTAAGAAATTGTTCTTGCAGCACACAGCTCTTATTCTGTCTGTTCTGTCTCCTTCTCTAGTGATGGTGTGTCTTCATAAAACAAAGTACACACTCTGCAGCTCCTCCTCTCTCCTGCTTACCCCCAGCCTGGTCACCTGAGACGAAAGATTTGTTTAGTTACCACAAAGCAAACACTGCTGCTGGCAGAACTTTTGAGAAGAAAAGTCATCAACTGACCGATACCACTCACCTTTGGCTCTAGTGCTGGGGAATCCCAGGCCACTGAAACACTTGAGTGGTGCCCCAGTGTCAGATCTTAACCCAGCTGAATAGATGGAGCAGTTGGTTACCTTTGTCTCATTTTACATTGAGGTAGAGATCTCAGATACAGGAACTGAAGGAAGCCATTCTCCCTCTAGCATGCAGAGATTGAAGAGCAGTATGGTCTAGGTTCAAATTTAGTTTTGTCAGGTACTTGCTGTATGATCTGGGAAAGTTACATTCCCTGCTTCTACTTCTTCAGCCAGAAGGAGGGTCAAAGTTTCACTTCTTTAGAGGGTTATTATGAGGATTTAATTAGCTAATATATCTGAAGGGCTTAGAACAGGGACTGGCACAAAATCAGAGTTATATGTACAATTCCCTAAATAAGGTGGTTGAGGCTAAGTAAACAAGGAGTGAGCAGATAACACTAAACTTGATCTCAGGGAGCAGAGGCTGACATCTCCTGGCTCTACCACAAACAATCCAATGTCTCAAGCAAATCACTTACAGTCTTTAGGTCTTATTTTCTCCAACTTAATCTAGCAATATCAACTTCTTTCCAGGATTGCTCTAAAAGTCCATCAGTTGTTGAAGCCATCAACATTTTGTAAATAAGTATTCAAATGTTGGATGTGAGTCCTTCTGTGTTTCTTTTTCTATTGTAACAGCTTTATTGACATCATACAGCTCACCTATTTGAAGTGTACATTTCAGAGGTTTTTAATGTTTTCAGTTATCCAACTATCACCATAATCAATTTTAGGATATTTAGAACATCATTTTCCCCAAAGAAGCTCCATACCCTTTAGTAGTAATCTGTATTGCTCACATTCACCCTCAGAACTAGGCAACTTCTTTCTGTCTATATAAATTTGCCTATTCAGGACTTTTATATAAATGAATCATGGAATGTATTGTTTTGTGATGGGGTTCTTTGACATAGCATGATGTTTTTAAGGTTCCTCCATGTTTATAAAATAGATAACCACATGTTATGCATCCAAATTATGAGCAAATGGACATTTGTGTGTTTCCTTTCTTGTGTTACTATGAAAAATGCTTCTAAGCGGTAGTGAGGAGTTGGCATTTTTTTGTGTTAGTGTGCCAGGTAGGCATTGTGATCGGTGTTTATCTAGTGTCTTGCTTAGCTGAAGGCAGTCACTGTAAGGTAGGTAGAAATGTTGCTTTGATTGGCCAGATGTGGGACATGGGTCCATCTGTGAAATCAGGATGCACCTCAATTGAGGAAGGAATGTTTCCCCAAAGAAAAGTTGAAACACACTGCTATGATTTAGGTATTAGATGTCCTCTAAAAGTTCATGTGAGAAAATGCAAGAGGGGTTAGAGGTGAAATCATTAGGTTATGAGAGCCTTAACCTAATTAGTGCATTAATCCTCTGATGGGGATTAACTGGCTGCTAACTGTCGGCAGGCAGGGTGTAGCTGGAGGACATAGCTGGGTCTCTGGGGGTGTGCCTTTAGAATATATATTTTTTTTCTTGTTGACTGGAGCTCTCTCTCTGCTTCCTGGTGCCATGTTTTCAGCTGTTTCCTTTGTCACCCGCTTCTGCCATGATATTCTGCCAGAAGGATTTGAGTCAGCTATCTATGGACTGAAATCTCTGAAACCATGAATCCTAGAATAAACTTTCTGCTTCTAATTGTTCTTGTCATGTCTTTTTGGTCATGTAGCAACCAAGTTTACTAAAACACTTATCAAAATGGAAATGCAGGCAAGCATTCAAGGGGAGCACTCACCTATGACTACACTTAGTCTTTGGCTGCACTAACAGAAGTAAAGCATTCAGAGCTCAGTAAGTAAGAACACATGTGTAGCTCTTTTGATCAGAACGTATCTGGCTGGTTATATAAAATGCTCAAGTAAGATTTTGAAAGGAATAGCATTATGTATTGGTTTGCCCTGAGTGGTTCCTCTTTGTGCCTTTTATCTGTCATTATTAGATACTACTATTACTCACAAGTACACCATACTTTGATGAAATTAGAGAAAGATACTAGAACTTGGCAAACGAGAGAGAGCATCAGTAGACATATGTCCAAGATGACAAAAGTCAGAGCTTTATAAAGTGCTGGGAAACCAGGGTTTTTCATCCAAAAGAAAGCTAACATGAGACATGAGTTGTCTTCAACACACGAAGAACACCCAATTAAAGATGCTATGATTTAGGTATTAGATGTCTTTTTAAAAAGGGACTGGCAAGAAATCAGAGTTATATGTACAATTCCCTAAAGATGCTATGATTTAGGTATTAGATGTCTTCTAAAAAAGAGAAGGATAGAATTGTTTTATGTGATTCCAAGAGATGAAGTGGTACCATCAGTAGATTTATAGGGAGAAAACTTCAACTGTATGTAGGAATAAAATTTCTGAGCACTTTGCTATACTTAATCCAATCATATAGGGGAGACACCAGAATGGAAAAAAATCTTGGAGTCTTGAGAAGGATTTGTGTGAAGTCACCATATGTAATAAAGTGATTCCCATCAGATCACAGATCTTAAAGAGTGAGCAGTGTCAGACATAAAACAGATTTAAGATAAAAACAAGAGGTGGATTTTAAAAAGAAGAGGTGATTGGAGGAAGGCAATAATTGTCCCTGCAGCTAAGGCAGGCTCCCGAGGTTTAACTCCTTGATCTGTCTATGACATTGTTGTCATGGAGGAGATGGTAAAAGGGTTACCTAAAAGTAGTTTCAGTTCCTGCAGCAGCCTGGTAACCAGAGCAATTCTTTCATGCAAGGTACTTTTCTGGACACAATATCCTAGTGAGGAAAGAGATGAGACCAGGAGAAATAAGATATGTCTCCAAATAACTATAGATTCTAATGCTATTATTTGTTACCTAAACACCACCAATGAAAACCACATTTGAGTTGGGAGAGAGAAACGAGGGCTGGAAACTGCCGTGGTTCAGCAACTGCTTATTTTGGCAGGAATTCCGCCCCGGGTCGCTACATTCAACCGCGCAAAACGGCTCCAGCCTTCCCCCAGAACCTGATAAATGGACAGAAGCTTGCTCCTTCCGGTGCCCCTGACTAGGAAGGGGAAAGCCACTGGCTGGTGCCAGCCCCCGGGGGCTGGGGGCCCCACGCCGTAGAACCGGCCAGGCCGGGGCTTGCTCTCCTGAAGGAGCGGGAGAGGTGGAGCGCCGGTGGGCTTGGGTCGACGCGCCCTGGCGGAGCCCCAGAACGAACCAGAGGTCGCGGCGGGGAGCCGGCGGATGTGGGGGAGGCGGAGGGCGGCGATCCACCTGGGCGACGTGGCAGCCATTGCCTACTCCTAGAGACCCCTCCCCACGCGGCCGCCCACCCGCCCTCTCGCGGCTGGCTCCTGCGAGGCTGCTCTTCCCGGGTCAGACAGAGAGCGGCAGTGTCTCCTTGCTCCGCGTGCTCGTTGCGCGTCTCCCGCAGGCGGCCGCAGCTGCTCGCCAGCCCTGCGCGGCGCCAGAGAGCGCGGTGGCGGCGGCGGGTCGCACAGGCTCCGGCTTCGGTGCTCTCCAGCCGCTCTTAATTTGTAGGAAGAAGATGCTCTGTTTTATGGACCTGAGTATTCCGGGGACTGAAATGTAAGAAGACTTTATGTTGGATAACAGGAAGAGGTGTAGAGTTTGCAGGTATCAACTGTGGTCTTACTAAGCATGTCAATAGCATCAATGCCAGATAGACGTTGAAAATGCCATGGATTGTCTATTAGAATTGTCTGCCTCTGATGCCAAGACAGAAGAATCATCTTCATAAAGCTTTGTTGCTTCTGAGAACCAGCCAGTTGAAACAGGAAGTGAAATAATGGAGAAGTGTCCTCTTGAAGAAGAGAGTGAAGATTCGAAGATGGATTCATTTCTGGATATGCAGCTGACCGAAGACTTGGATTCCTTAATACAGAATGCTTTTGAGAAATTGAACTCTTCTCCTGATGACCAAGTATACTCATTTTTGCCTTTGCAAGATGTTAATAGTTTTAATGGCCCAAGTAAGTTTATAAATTCACATTCAAGTAGTACGACTCCTGTCCATTCTATGCAAAAGATGGATTCCAACAGTGAGAATTTAGAAAATTCTGTCCCTACAGTAAGTTCAAACCCATTAACTTCACATTCAGTTTTGAATGGGTCCAAAAGTTTTATAAAGGATAACACTTTGGCTTTAGAAGATGATTACCAAGAAGATTCTCATCTCAGTAGTTCTTTAAATCCAACAAATGACTCTATCGTGGGTTGTAGCAATCTCAATCAGAGACAGAGAGAGCTTTTAGAATCTGAGTGTGTTGAGGCTCAACTTTCCAAAGCCCCTGTAAATTTGGATGCTAATGAACCTCAAGCTTCTTTAAACTTTCCTGTGCAAAATTCAGGGTGTGATTTGCCAGATACTGGTGGGAATCAGAGGTCTACTTCTGTCTCTGATATTTTTGTACCTTCTGAAGGGTTCAATTTCAAGCCACACAAACATACTGAACTACCACCAAAGGGGAAGGATATGAATTACTGCCCAGTACTTACCCCTGTCCCTTTACTGCTTCCTCCTCCTCCACCTTCACCAATGTGGAATCCAATGATTCCTGCTTTTGACCTCTTTCAAGGAAGCCATGGGCTTGTGGCTCCTGTTATAACCACAGCTGCACACTGGAGACCCGTCAACTACACATTTCCACTCTCGAACATTTCTCACACTTCCCCAACAAAGGTATAGAGAAACAAAGAGGGAACAAGTGCTTATCAAGTACAAGAAACTCCTGTTTCTCAAGTTGTAAGAAAGAAGACAACATCATATGTTGGACTAGTTCTTGTTCTTCTCAGAGGCCTTCCGGGATCAGGAAAATCTTTTTTGGCGAGGACTTTGCAAGAGGATAATCCAAGTGGAGTCATTCTTAGTACTGATGATTATTTTTGTATAAATGGACAGTACCAGTTCTATGTAAAGTACTTAGGAGAAGCACATGAATGGAACCAGAATCGTGCTAAGGAAGCATTTGAGAAGAAGATATCACCCATAATAATAGACAATACAAACCTACAGGCCTGGGAAATGAAGCCATATGTTGCTTTGTCTCAAAAACATAAATATAAGGTCCTCTTCCGGGAACCAGACACATGGTGGAAATTCAAACCGAGGGAGCTTGCAAGGCGTAATATTCATGGGATAAGCAAAGAAAAAATAACAAGAATGTTAGACCACTATCAACGTTTTGTTTCAGTGCCAATAATCATGAGTTCTTCAGTTCTAGAGAAAATTGAACATATTGAATTATGTGCATATTCTTGTGAGGATAGAAGTTCCAGCCCAAGAGACAATGAAGATATTACCTCTGAAAAAGAAGAAAATGTTTTATCCTCATCACTGAAGCATCTAGAATTAATTGAAGAAAAGAATCCTGAAATGACCAAAGAAACGGTGTTGCCTGAGAATATTACATATCTCCCCCATGCAGATATAAGCAAAGGAAGGAAAGAAATAAGTGCTATACGTCATAACACTCTGAGTCAGTTCATTCAGGAAGCTGCACACATCTATCTTTCAGACTCTGGAAGCAAAGTTCAAGTAGCAGACAAGAGAGAAAAAGAATAGCAAGTAGAAATGACATCTTAAAAACAGTGTATTAAAACATGCAGATAGAGTATCACCAAGTATTTGCTCTGGTGAAAATAATCAAGACTGTGATCTGGCAAATACTGTACCACTTCAAAATGAAATATCTTCACCTGGTGAAATATTTGAAGAAAGAACAATAGTAAAGAAAAAAGCCTTTGGGAAACAAAAAAGCAAAACACCTTTGGAAAAGTTTCCAAGACATGAGCTATCGAATTTTGTTGGTGATTGGCCAGTTGATAAGACTATTGGTCAGAGAACAAAAAGGAACCGAAAATCTGAAAAAGATTCATCTATACAAAGGGACAAAAAGTATAGTCGCCCTCAGTCACGCAAAGTATCAGATAATACTGTGTCCATGATTACAGATCATATCCAACAACAAGGATCTCCATATGAAAGTGTAGATGATAGCAGGAAGTCACAGTGTGATGATTCTTCAGAATTTCTCAATAGCTGTAAATATGATACTTATAAAAATCCTGAAAAAAACTCAATTAATATTAATTAATTTAATATTGTGGGTGATTGGCCTTCATCTGATTCTTTAGCTCAGAGAGAGCATAGATCAAAAATGCCAAAGGCTGGTTTAAGTGAACCCAATCTAGAATTTGGAAATAATGATAATATGAATGAAATATCCTTATATACAACACAAGCCTGTTGGGGCACATGCCCTAAAGAACTAAAATTGTTGGGGAGCTCCACTCTACAACGTGCTGACATGATACCCAGTGAAATAACCCAGGAGAATCAAACTTCTCTAAGTAAAATGATTCATGGGCAGCACACATTGCCTCTAACTTTCACTAGTAAAACAGCAACCATTACTGGAGTGGTAGGGTGCCACAGTCTGGCTGGGCACAAATCACGAGCCA